CTATCGCACCCTAAACCCCTTTTTGCCACCAGACTGAGGTCTAGCCAGTACTATGCCACCCTTTGTGAACCCGTGCTGAGGCCGAGGCATGTGACGGGAAAAGGCATACTGTGGCGCTCTCCGAGCAGTACTATAAACCTAGACTTTGGGGAGAACTGTGGTCTTACCCTCCAGCTGTAGACTATACAAGCTACTCCGGCTCCTCGAGATTGGCTGTAAAGGCGGGCCCCTTATGAGGGTTTAGGGTTTAGGGTTGCTTCTATCGGCGTTTTCGGGGTTTCCCGGCAGGTTGGAACACACCTAGCGCCATAGTGAAGGCTGAGACAAAACCTTGGAACCCAAAGAGCTTGACAACCAAGAAGGTTTTAGGGTTGAGGGTATGGTTTAGGGTTTAGGGTTTGGGGTTTAGGGTTTAGGGTTTAGGGTTTAGGGTTTAGGGTTTAGGGTTTACGGTTTAGGGTTTCGGGTTTCGGGTTTCGGGTTTAGGGTTTGGTGTAGGGTTTGGTTTAGAGTCCCAAGCCTCATGTGCCAAGAGCCTCCGAGCCCAACACTCGCTTACTTACGGACATCTCATGGTAAAGGCCCCATATAAAGTTCAAGGTGCATTCCTGAATTTTCAAGGGTATTGCCCTGTAACTAGCCCTAAACCCTACACCCTCAGAACCCTGAATCCTACACCCCAAGCCCTAAACCCTAAACCCAAAACCACCCTAGGCCCCAAACCCTGCACCCCTAAAGTACTTGTGATTAAGCAGGTATAACTGTACTTATAACCCACTTGTAAGCCCCTTAAGTGCCCTAAAATGGATTTAAGTACAGTGATAAGTACAGTAATAATTGGTTCAACCACGTAGAGGCGTGCCCCACTCTCTCCTGCTGCATTTGTAGTTTTCGGAGCGCCGCCTTATAGACTGGCCGAAGTGCGAAAGTCAGGTTGCACAGAATCCGCCTTTCGAAGGAATCACAGGATTGCTTGCTTCGGGTCGGGTTTAGGGCTTAGGGCTTTAGGGTTTAGGGTTTTAGGGTTTATAGGGTTTAAGGGTTTTAGGGTTATAGGGTTATAGGGTTTAAGCTTTCGAGGAGGTCTAGGCTAGGGTTAGTTAGGCCACCTGCGGAAGTTTTGGGCTCAGGGGCTCTTCCTTGAGGATCCCTGCTACACTTTCAGGCCCTAAACTCCAAACCCCAAACCCTCATGAAGTTGAAGGGATGTCGAGACATAAACCCTAAACCCAAACCCTAAACCCTACACCCAAAGCCCTAAACCCCAACACCTAAACTCCCCTAAACCCTAAACCCAAAACCGCCCTTAGGTGGAGCGGTGTTCAGGGGCAGGAGCAGCTCCTCCCCTGCAAGAAGCCCCTCTACACTACTATTTGCTTAAGAACCCACCAACAAATCCAAATACCAATCCCTACATTACCCTTTTGTATTGCTTTTAGTTTTTGCTTTTTTGTTTTTGTGGGGGGGGGTTCTTCAGAAAATAGAAGCAATGCCTTTACGCTCCTGGGTAGATGATGTTGGGAATGGACCACAAAACTCACATTGGAGTTTACGAAAAAAAAGGCTAAATTAGACCCCAAATAGTAGGATCCCCTTGTAATCAGGACCAATCAGGTACCCCTAATATCGTCAAACCCCCACATCGAATTGCGCGGTAAACCCCAAACCCGAAACCCTAAACCCGAGCACCCACAAGAGGGGCTGCCTCAAGTAGTCCGAGTTGTTTAACTCCAAGGGAAAGTCCTGCCAGGCTCGAGACGCCACAAGCTCACGGGGTTTAGGGTTTAGGGTTTACGGTTTAGGGTACCCTCCTGTAAAGACCTCATGCCGTGGCTCAAGTCTGCAATCCATTCGGGTTCGAAACCCTAAACCTGCGGGCGCGAGATGAACGGTAGACTTGGGATCACATATCTACCTACTCTGATGATCTTTCCGTGCCACGAATATATAATCCAAGCCCAGAACCTTTCCCGCGAACTGAAATCGCCCGGTATGTTGATTAATAGTCCTTTGGAATTGCATAGCTAAGGAGGATCGGAGTGAAGCATAAGTTCTAAGGAGACGAGAAGAGACTATCATCCAGACAACGAGCGTTTGCATGACCATCTTGTGCATGAACGTGTGGGTAGTTCTCTAATGAAGGTCCCTAAACCCTAAACCCTAAACCCTAAACCCTAAACCCTAAACCCTAAACCCTAAACCCTAAACCCCGTGAACCCTGAACCCTAAACCCTAAACCCTTTCCGCATTCTATAGGGGACCCAACGAGGGACCTCCGTATAGAGAATCACCCATGCGTCAGCTTTGGTAGTTGCTCAAGGGCATACAGCAAACCAGTACCTCGGGGACCAAATGAACCGTAAAACAAAAAGGGCGTATGCTTGTCATGCCTACATAGAAGAGGATGGTTGAAATCCTATAGGGTAGTGTAGGGTATAGGGTCTCAGCTTTCTAGGTCGCCAAGGTACATCACCCCACAGCAAGGGAGCCCAGTACGCCTTGCTTGCTAAGGAAAGGTACCATCATCAGGATCACCCCAAGGGAGCCCAATACCCCTTGCTTGCGAAAGGAAACGTACCATAAGGATCCCTTATTAGTTCAAGGGCTACTAAACCCTAAACCCTAAACCCTAAACCCCAAACCCCAAACCCTAAACCCTAAACCCTAAACTACGCGTTGGAGAAAGGCCGCCTGCCTTCCCCCCCCCCCCCCCCCCCCCCCCCCCAGGGCAAGTCGGGTGTCCAGGACATAGAAGTCGCCAGGGCTATCTCCAGTTTTGATAATCGCAGAAGACATGGCGACATGCAGCTGCTGTGTGTTGCAGAATATGCCGAAAGCTAGCCTCATGTACACGATCCCTACTAAGGTATCCGAACCATAAACCTTTTGAGGGTTGAGTTGGTCACCAAGGAAGTGCAAGTCGGTCCTAAACCGAGCCCATGCCTGCAGCTGCCTGCAAGCATAACAAAAACCATTGACTTAGTGGGCTTGAAGAGTGCTGGCATGTGCTTCGCGAACCTCAGTCTGGCCCGTGTTCTAGGGCTTTTCGGGTTCCGAATGCTTGCTGGCATATCTCTGACGATGGAGCAGAACGTGTTCTTTGCAACATCTCGGGGGGCCCCAAACTTGTGCACACTTCATGATGGTCTGCTGGAATGGCTGCCTGGATGCGCGAGATTCATGTCGAAATGAACTCCTTCGACCTCACTACCCGACGCTGGGGGAGCGGGTGGAGTGGCGAGTACCGGATAACTGTACTCCCCTTAGTCTTTGACACTCCCTTGGGTTTTAAACAAACAAAAAACACCAAAATTCCCAAGGGGGGTATAGGCTATAGATATGGACTGCACGGTGGCTGCCTCACAGTCACTGGAGTTCGACAGCATCTGACTCCTTTTCGGTGAGGAAGTGGGCTGACCATAAGCGGTTTTGGGGTTTAGGGTTGGGGTTTAGGGTTTAGGGTAGACTTTAAAGCGTCATGCATGGGCTTAGATCGAGTGCCGATGCTTTGGGTTAGGGGCGTGCATTTGGGACCTGAGCTTCTGCGCATGGAAGATGTGGAAGGTTGGGGATTCAACGTCTGGGAATTCAGAGTGTGTTGTGGCAAAGTGTATGAAACTTTCGATGAGAAGCCAACCCCCCCCCCCCTAAACCCTAAACCCTAAACCCTAAAACGAAGCCCTTTCCTGTGATTCGTTTCATTCCGCAATCGGTGCAATGATCTGCCCGGATGCTGAAACATCTTATATATATATATACATAAGAATACATATAATATATATATATATATATATTTATTTATTTATTCATTTATTCATTTATTCATTTATATATTTATATTTATATTTCTATTTATGTATATATTTCTGTATTTATTTATGTGTTTATATTTATTTATTCCTATTTCTATTTCTCTATATATATATATACATACATACATATATATATATATATATATAAAGATGCATACTGCGCTCTATCTTAGAACCCGACGGTTAACGGCACACGACCCTGCAAAAACTAAGTTCGGGATGCCCTCTGTCTTCCACCTACATGGCCGAGCGCTCGGGTGCTTCGAGGGTTAAAGGGGAACACCCTCAACCCCAAACTCTGAACCCTAAACTCAAAACCCTAAACCCTGAACCCTCGCTCATTTCTGCGATGTGCACATCGCTCAAATCAACGCACGTGGCTCTGGCGTCAGGAGGGCCTCGGCAGGCCTGGGGGGGGCTTCTGTGCGACTCAACGTCGGAAGTAGGGTTACTTGGAAGCCCGATTAGGGTAGAGGTGCTGTAGTTTAGGGTGTAATTATAAAGGACAGGGGTTTAGGGTTTAGGGTCTGGGGTTAGTAAGGGCGGGTTATGCGGAGAATAATCGGGTTTCTAGGGGATACTGTGTAGACTTTCCAAGTGAAAAGAGCTTCCAAGTAAGGGTAGGGCTCCAAGCTTAGGTCTTGCAGGGTGTAAGGTTCAGGGCATGTAGGGCTCACAGTTTGGAGCGGAGTTTTAGGGTTTAGGGCCTCTTTTTGTTGCTCGGGGCTTCGTGCTCACGAGCATCCTCACATCTCAAGTCGTACGGGCTGTCTAGAATCCCAGACCTCTTGAGCAACGAATGGAAGACTCCATAGGCCCCATGCGTGGTCATCTTTTACTGTCAGGTCTCTTCGTTACGTTTGCTCTTGTGCCCCTGTGAGTAAGAGCACGGTGCTTGCCATGCCTAAAAAGGTCGGGGCCCAGCATTTCTGAGATGACGATGTGCAGCCAGATGTCTGTGTGCGAAAGATAGAGGCCAAAGCCAGTCTTCCCAAAACCCGAACCCCTCCCGAACCCCACACCCCAACCCCTTAACCTGAACCCTGGGTTTAGGGTTTAGGGTTTAGGGTTTGGGGGCTTCAGGTTCTTGAGGGTTTAGGGTTCAGGGGGCTTAGGGCAGCTTAGGGGATTGAGGGTGACCGGATTCTCTGGGACCCAGGCAGCCAGGATTCCATGGGACGGGCTTCCTCACTTCCTTGGTGCACGCTGCTGCGTACGCTTGTGCTGCGTAGTCTGGGAATCTGGGTTTAGGGTTTAGGGTTTTGGGTTTCGGGTTTAGGGACTGAGGGGGGGAAAGTGGGCTCTCTCGTTAGGATGCGTACGTCGGGCAGTTGTATCGAAAAGAAACTAGAAGGCTTTCAAAGGTCATACGATTGGAGATCGTTTAAGGTTCCTGCTTGGGATGTTCCCCCTTATAATCCTTAATAGGGATTATAGTAGGGGGTACTACAATCCCGATTAAGGACTGTTAGCATAGGGGGGAGCATTCCCAAGTTCCTGCCGTACTCCCAGTGTCTGTCACCTCATGGCGGCCCAGTGGTACGAAGAGCCTCTTGCCCCTTTTTTGGGGGGTTAAAGGTTCCCTTCTAAAGTAACCAACCCCAGAAAGGGTTTAGGGTTTAGGGTAAACCCTGATTCCTTTTAGGGCCTGAAGAAGAATGCGAGTTGCCATGTCCCAGAAAAGTGGTGCTGGACGATGGGAGTGCCAGGGTCATCGTCGCTGCTGTATCCAGGGCTTGAGACCTTGCACTAAACTCCTCCTTATCGACCCTAAACCCTCAACCCTGAAACTAAACCGAATACACAATACTCCGAGGTTTGCACAAACAAAAAAAACCTTCTGGAGCGTTTCCTTATTATATAGGGCCCCTCTTAAACCCAAATAGGGACAAAGGAGAATACTTGGCTGCACTCAGGAGGGTAGCCATAAATTAAACTTTTAGCTGCCTTACTAAGAAGCCCAATAAACCCAAAAAAGCCTAAGGATCTAAAGTGACGGTAAAGTACCACAAAGAATATACCCCAAAGCCAACCTAGAAAAAGCGCTCCAAAGCAGGCTGCGGCGACTCGCTGCGAGGCAAGCACCCACATCGTCAAGTTTCCACGCCGGTAGAGGCTTTCGCTGGGGAAGAGCCGCTTGCTGAAGCGGGAGCCTGGGCTGGCCTCTGAAACAACCCTACATAAACCCTAAACCCTAAACCCTAAACCCTAACCCTAAACCCTAAACCCTAAACCCTAAACCCTAAACCCTAAACCCTAAACTTAGGCTCTAAACCCTACACTCTAAAACACTACACTCTAAAGTCCTAAGAAACGTGGTTGTATCTAGGGGTCGCATACAAACCCAAAGGAGGAGCATCGAAATCATCCCAAGAGCCAACCTAGCAGCTGCGACCAGTGTGACCCGCAATCAGGTTGGAAAGCGCTTCCTCGGCAGTCTTTGGAATATAGGGTTTAGGGTTTAGGGTCCCTAAACCCTAAACCCTAAACCCTAAACCCTAAACCCCAAACCCAAGCGTCAGGCGAATCCTTCTCCAGGAACTCATGCACGGCATCAGTGAAGGTGGCGGGACCCGTCAACTCGAGGGTGGACTCTATCCTCCAGGCGAACTTCTCCTTGGCTGGGTTTAGGGTTTAGGGTTTAGGGTTTAGGGTTTAGGGTTTAGGGTTTAGGCTTTCGGGTTGAACTTCTGAACCCCTCCCGAAAAAATTAATGTCTAGGCCCCTGATTCTAGTTTCTACAAAAACCCAAAGGGTTAAAGCCCTAAGAATGGAAGCCAAGTCTCTCGAATCAGTTCCAAACAGCGAAGCAAGACCTGGACCCAGGGAGATGAGGTAGGGTTTAGGGTTTAGGGTTTAGGGTTTAGGGTTTAGGGTTTTAGGGATTAGGGTTTTGGGTGTTCGAGGTTTATACCGAGGTGGGGTATAGCGCTGAAAGTTCAGAAACTTGGCACAGTTCAGGGTTTATAGAATGCCCCTTCCAACCAGACCCTTAGATTCTGAACCAAAGGGTTTCCAACATATTTGCGTGATGTTTGGCTCTCTGGGAACTGTTGGAGATGTAGTTTTTTTTTCCACCCGCCTAGGAGACCCCCTCTGGGATCACTCCGCAGGGAACAGTCGTGGTTGCGTGATGTTGTTCAGTTCGCAAAAGGGGTCCCGAGGCCTCCCTCGTCCCAGAGCTGCTGACCCAAAACAGTACACAGCACAGGGAAGTTCATGACCTGGCAAACACTGCCACTACCCTAACCAGGTAACCCCGGACAAGAACACAAACTATAAACCAGCAAGTGTGACAAGGACAGGCATGGGGCAGGACATCCCCAAGCTGAATGTACTTCAGGGCTGTCCCCCAGGCGCCAGCTCATGTTCTCCAAGCTAGGACAGCTCTAAGTAGGAAGGCGTACTTGAACTCGGTTGTCCGGTCGCTTGAGGGGCTTCCGAAAAACGCAACCCAATAGCGGCATACCGGCATACGACAGCGCTGTCCCCATGGTCATGGTACTGTCACAGATCCTGCATCTGAGCCCAGGCATTAGGCTAGTAACGTTCTCAGCATCTCGTCTCTGTGCCCTGCTTCTGCCATGCGTGCACGCAAATTGTGAACTATGAATTTCAGCAAGCGCCTTACAACTAACCCCAAGTTCGCCAAAACAAGAGAGACTCAGCCTCGACCTAGATGCATGTAGCGCTTGCCCTCATGAGCTATCGTACTGGGGCGGGGGCCATCGGTGAGTTTGATATCAAGCACCCAAACGCTACATCAAAGCATATGTCGTTTAGGGTTTAGGGTTTAGGGTTCAGGTCGTCTGGGCAGCCGATACTTGCTGTACTTCCGGAGCTGAAGAGACCAGCAAAGTTAAACGAAACGCCCCTTTAACAACCACAGCTGAAACAAGTTTGATGTTTCCTTGGGCTTTTAGGAAAAAAGGGCTTTTAGAAAAACACAGTACACATGGCTTTTTTCCCGCACATCAGCGTAAAGCTCGTAAAAGCCACGCCTGCCCAACCCTTTTGCAACTTGGTACACTTCTACCCTAAACCCTAAACCCCAAACCCCAAACCCTAAACCCCCAAGTAGAAGCAAGGAGCTGGGTTCGATGGGGAGGACGCAAAGAACCACTGCTCGAACCTGCGTAGTTCATGGTTTTAGGGTTTAGGGTTTAGGGTTTAGGATTTAGGGGGTTGGGGTAGTAAAAAAACATCTACATGTCTATTCTCTGATTTGACTTTAAGTACCCTTAAAAAGGAAAAATAGAATTATAAAAATATACATGTCTATTCCCTATTGGCGTTAAGTACCCTTAGAAGTGAAAAAAATAAAAAGAAGAGCTACTCCACTGTGACAAAGAAGCTGGTCAGTTCTTGAGAAGCGGGCGCCGCGGCGCTCGGCTTCGGTCAGGTGATGCCCCGTTTCATAGCCAACGATCCTCGGCGGCGTTTTTGCAAAAAGAGGAGACAACCCGGGTTTAGGGTTTAGGGTTCAGGGTTTAGGGTTTAGGGTTTAGGGTTTATAGGGTTTAGGGTTCAGGGTTCAGGGTTCAGGGTTTAGTCCATGTACCTAGGGACAACTTGAACCGACAGCATTTCGAAGAATGCTTGCTTCGGGACCTCTTGCGGGGCGCGAGATATGCACCATGCAGGTACATGCGCCGTTCTGGGATGTTCGCTAAAGGGTAGCTGGCGCAGGCCTAGAATGAACGAAAACGAGCCACACACAAGGCAGTAGACTTTATGAGAACAGCCAAAGCTCATATCGGTCTCTTTGGGAAAGGCCATCTCAGAAATAGGCACAAGGCATGCAACGTCGATATCGGCATAGTACCCTCCATAAGCCCAGAGCACGAGGTAGCGGAAGGCATCAGCACGCTCAACTGGCAACAGCCCATCCCAGATGGGCCAAATCAACTGAGCAGACTTGCTCCGGACCAGGGCTTCAACCTCCGTGTCGTTCCAGAGCTTGTGCTGGCAGCTTGGGTTCTTGGCAGTCCATGAGTTGAACCACGCGCGTGACTTGGAATCGAGCTCATGTCGCTTCCACGTCTGATGGATCACGCCTCGTTCATGGTTGGGGTCGTACACAAAAAACTTAAGGATTTCTATTCCTTCTTGAGTTCAAGTACCCTGCGCAAAATGAAAAATGTTACCCCACAAATGACAAAGACGCAGGGTATGTGCGCGGGTCCCACGTGTGGGTGTCCGGGTCCCCCAGGTCCCCCGGGTCCCCCAGGTCCCCCGTGCCGGGCCAGGTTGGAGGATTTCTGAAGCAAGGATGGGCACTTGAAGGATGGGTACTTGAAGGATGGGCACTTGTGGCCCTGGCTCTGTACATGTAGGGCAAGTAGAAAAAGCAGGAAGGACAGCATCAGCCTAAAGGGACTCAAGGAGGGACCCTGAAAAGGGGACCTTAGGGGGTTATTTCTTTGGGGGAATAGGATGAAGGGTCCCTTTTTGGGGTCCCTCCTTCTGCCCCTTAAGCCGGCGGAACAAGAAGATAAGTTTGATACCAGAAACTGCGGCGGATGACGACAGCCGGACTGAGCATGGAAACAGGCAACTCTCATGATCGCCCAGGGGGCATGTGCTGCGAGCGAGCAGGCTTGAGGGTTTAGGGTTTAGGGTTCAGGGTTTTTGTGTTTAAGTGTTCAGGGTTTGGGGCTTCTAGGATCTTTATGTTGTTGGTTATAGGGCTCAGGAAATTCCAACCTTTCGTACAAGGCCAATCATCCCTTAGGCTTGCGTTGGCAGCCTCCTCTCACGAGGCACATGCATCCAACATTGGGGTCGGGGGTGGGGGGTAATCGTACGGATTTAGGGGGTTGATGGGGTTTTTGGTGCACAAGGGGGGTGCCGTTTAAGAAATGCCCAAAAAGACGGGTTGCTCACTCTTCTTCTTCTTCTTCTTCGCATGCTTTCGGATGTATGACAACGCTCTGCCGGGGCACTGCCTCAAGCAGGAAACCTCAGCAGTAACGTAGCAGGTGACGGAGACAAATCGAAAGGAAACGGCCAGGTTCATAGTCTGCAAAGGGCTCATGGCGTGCAACATCACTATCGTCTATTTCAAGGCAACTTCCCTTCTTCAGCGAGGCTTCCCCCTGCTGTCAGAGTCTGCAAAGCAGCTCCGAAAAATCTACAGGCCCTACAAACCCTAAGGGTCCATGTGCCACCCTAAACCCTAAACCCTAAACCCTAAACCCTAAACCCTAAACCCTAAACCCTAAACCCTAAACCCTAAATAGGAACCCTGAGGATCCCTTCAGCCCTAAACCCTCAACTCCTTGACTGACTCTAGTTTCTCGTGGTTCGCGCGCCCGTCGTTAGTCTTCTCACACATTTGACGAACTGACTTCATCAGTCCGTCTGCCCGAAACCCTGAACCCGAAGCCCCAAACGGGTTTAGGGTTTAGGGTTTAGGGTTTAGGGTTTAGGGTTTAGGAGGCCCAGGTGTATGGCATCTCGGCCTAAGTCCCTTCACATTCCGTCGAAGCTCGGCGAGCCGAGCCGGAAAATGTGCCAATGCCTATACTTGGAGGTTCATGGTACTTATGGGTTTAGGGTTTAGGGTTTAGGGTTTAGGAGTACTTATTAACCAATGATAACTGTACTTATAACCCACTTACAAGCCCCTTAAGTGCCCCAATATGGTTATCAGTACAGTTATAAGTACAGTTATAATTGGTGAATAAGTACCATGAACCTCCAAGTAGCTCCGGCTTGGCGAGCGCTTGGCATTCTGCATGGGACCCCGCCCAAAGACATTCGAACCCTGAAGCTGTGAACTCTAATCCTAAACCCGAAACCCTAAACCCCTAAACCCCTAAACCCCTAAACCCCTAAACCCTAAACCCCCTAAACCTCTAGGCCCTAAACCCTAAGACCGAAAAAGCTCAGCCCTCTAATCCTTCATGCCGCTTCCTTGTCATTACAGAAGCCCTCCTCTGCCCCGAAGTCTGGTCTCGCTTCCACCCTGCCCCCCCCCCCCCCCCCCCCCCCCCCCGCAGCCTTGCCCGAAGAAGATATGGGAATTTCACCTCTGAATCGTAAACCCTAAACCCTAACCCTATAAACTCTAAACACCCTAAACCCTAACCCTATAAACTCTAAACCCTAAACACTAACCCGAAACTCTAAGAACCCTAAACCTAAAAGCCCTAAACCCGAAAACCACGTCCTGTAAAAACCCTGACTATACCACCTCTTGCTCAAGCGCTTGCCAAACCCAAGGCCATGAGGCCCAATGCCGCGTTCTTTGGGGGGGGGCGATTCTGGGTGGGGGTCTTCTAGGGTTCTTAAGGGAGGGGGTTCAATGAGGCCCCATAAGCTTCCCTAAGGTTTGTTTGGGGTGTTTGGGTTGGTTTTTGCTAGGCCTTGAGCGGGTAGTCAACTGAAGGGCTCCGCTTCCGGCACCCTAAACCCTAACTCCTAGATCCAACCTTTTTGGGATTTAGGTTTCAGGGTTTCGGGGTTGAGGAAACCCTGAAAACTCCCTGAGCCCTTGCATGCGAAATGCATGCTCATGTATGAAGGGTGACCATCGTCCAGGCCAGGCTGGAGAGCTTGCGCAAGAAACCCCCTGCAACAAAACCAGAGCTACACTTGGCTGCACTCAGGAGGGTAGCTATAAATTGAACTTTTAGCTGCCTTACTAAGAAACCCAATAAACCCAAAAAAGGTAAGGATCTAAAGTTACGGTAAAGTACCACAAAGTACAGTTCGTCTTGTGGGAAAGTCTTGTCAGAAGTACCCCACAAAAGCCTCAACCCTAAACAACGATTCTGGTTTGGGTTCTTAAAGGCCTCCTGTGGGTCCCACAGCGTGCATCTGGGGAGAGCGCGGCGTGAGGGCGAAAATTGGCCGGGGGCAAGCCAGCGCCCGTAAGGAAGGAAGGCCACAGACAGCCCTAAACCCTGGCTGCTGAGGCCCTCTGGCTAAACAGGCACCGAAGTGCCATGTAAACTTCGGAAAATGTCAGGATCTCTCGAGCCCGAAAACCGCCCCAAATCCCTGCAGGCCCAATAGGCCCTAACTCTTGAGCTCTACCAAGCTCATTGACCACAAAAACTGGTGCTATCGGAACTTGAACTCAGATACCTGAACCAGGAAATCATATAAGTTCCTGCACAGTTCCCGTGTGTACAGATTGTGCTCTCTTAACAGAAGTTCCCCCAAAACAACCCAGAAACATCACTGAACTGGGCCCCTAAGATGATGTGAAGTGTTCCCTTCTTTGGCGCCTTTCACTGCCCTAAACCCCTAAACCCCTTTGCGCATCCTAAAAAACCCTAAACCTCCAAACCCGCAACGCGGAACCCTTCACCCCTACACCCTGACCCCTAAACCCCTAAACCCTAAACCCTAACAACCTAAGCCCCTAACCCCTTAAACCCTAAACCCCTCACTCCTAAACCCTCCCCAAACCCCGCAACCCTGAACCCCAAACCCCCTAAACCATAAACCAAAAACCCCCGACCCCAAAACCCGAACCCCCAAACCCTAAGCTCTAAACCCTAAAACCCTAACCCTAAACCCCTACACTGCACCCTACACCCTAAACCCCCTCAACCCCTAACCCCCTAAACCACTGAACCCTAAACCCTGCACCCTCTAACCTAGGTTGCCCAGTAGCCTAGGACTAAAACGGCTGCCCTTTTTTGCCTAAAGGGGTTTATAAGGGAACTTAACCCCCTCCCCCCCCCAAAAAAAAAAACAAATAAAATAATAGGAAGGGAATCAGGTGATGTCGGGGCCTTAAGAATTTGAACGCTGGGGCTTCGGGGGATTTATTTTGTATATTTACAAAGGGACCACAAGGAAATACTATGAGTAGCTACTCGGACCCTAAACCCTAAACCCTAAACCCTAAACCCTCAGGACCCCTCTATTTCTGTAACTCGAGAGAGTTGCCAAAGCCCGGCGCGGCTCGGTATTTCGAGGCAGCCAAGCAGCCGTGGCAACTGACGCCTCCAGGCTTCCGGAGAGGTTGGAGCAGTTGAGTTCGGGTTTTTCTAGGGGTTTAATGGGGTATTATAGAGTAACTTGTTTATAGGCTTTATGGGGATTTTATAGGTGTTTCTAGGTGTTTATAGGGTTTATACGGTTTCTAGGGTTTACAAGGCTTATGGGGTTGTATTTTTGTTTGAGGGTGTATGGGGTCATAGGGTTTGCGGCTTGGCATTTAGGGTTGAAAGGCTGTAACCATATTCACACGCTTAATGCTCCCTTGGCTTTGTCATAAACCCCAAATCCACCATAATTCCTGAGGACACTATCATGTAGTGGGTCCTTAGGGAAACTGCCGTTTTGTGTGGGTAGTTAGCAGGCCGTGTTTCACATGCATGTCTGCCCAGGGTTTAAGGTGTAGGGTTTAGGAGGTTTTGGGGTTTAGGGTTTAAGGCTGCAGGATTCCCGAGCTACCTTAAGGCTCATAGAGCGGCGACGTTCTTGGGCCTCTGTTCTGCTTCTTCGATGCCGCCCTGAACCCTCAAACCTAAACCCTAAACCCTGGACCCACACCCCAACCCCCAAACCCCCCAAACCCTAAATCCTCCACGTCCCTAAAGCCCAACTTGAAGGAGCAACGGACGCGAGTTGCAGGGAAAACAGCAGTCTGGTAAACAGCATACTGGGGTACTGGGGGGCTTAGGGCTTGGGGGTTTAGGGTGTAGGGATTATAATCCCAAAACCCTAAACCCTAAACCCTAAACCCTAAACCCTAAACCCTAAACCCTAAACCCTAAACCTATAGGGTTGAGGGTTTGAAAGGCTCTCATAAGGCTCTGAACGGCACCGCCCACCTGAATCTGCCCTAGAACAGGAGCTGGTCATCGTTTCACCTGAGTGCAGGCGAGCTTAGGTTTAGGGCAAACATGTGTGTATGTGTAATTATGTGGGTTTAGGGTTTTAGGGTTTGGGGCTAAGAATCGGTGAGTACATAACACGTACATATAAGCACACATAAAATATGTGTATATACATATATATATATACGTGGAATGCAAAATGCCCCTCATGGATGCCCGATTTAGGGCAGAGCAACTTCTGCCGGCGTAGAATTGGGAGAGACCCCTTCCCAACCTCTCTAGGCGATGGTCTGGCCGGAGCCGAGGGGGGGAGGGGGGTGTGGGGGGGGGGGGCACAGCAAAAAAACAACTTGAGGTCCACCTCCTATCAATCTGGAGGCTTGGGCGGTCTAGGGGTTTAGGGCCAAGGTTTAGGGGGCTGAGGATGTATCGAACCGGGCTATCGGACCCCAAACTTCCAACAGCCTGCTCCGTGCAGGTTTAGGGTAAGCACATAATGCTTAAGTGTTTAGGGAGGTCTAGAGAGGGCCGTCAAAAGATGGAAGCCGCTTGTAATCCTGGGC